TATGAGGAAGGGAGGGAAGGAAGCGGGGAGAAAGGAAGGAAGGAGGAATAGACTATGAGGAAGGAAGGCAGGAAGGAAGGAAGAGTGACGGAGGGAGAGAGGAAGGAAGGAGGAATAGAGTATGAGGAAGGAAGAGTGACGAAGGGAGGGAGAGAGGAAGGAATGAAGAGTATGAGGAAGGGAGGGTGATGAAAGGAGGGAGAAAGGAAGGAAGGAAGAGTATGAGACAGAGTTGGAAGGGACCTTGGAGGTCTTCTAGTCCAACCCCTTGGTCAAGCAAGAAACCCTATCCCATTTCAGACTAATTGTTGTCTAATCTCTTCTTTAAAAACTTCCTGGATTGGAGCACCCACAATTTCTAGAGGAACTTCTAGAGACCTTCAAAGGTGCCCTCCTCCTCTTCTCCCCCACTCCCTAGGCCAGGATTATTTTACACTGTTAATATTTCCCAGTGGGCTCCTTTCCAGCAGGGCTTGTTATCTTTTTAAACAAAGCTAAACCCTGGGCAACTTCCAGAGGTTCAAGGTTCTCTCTCAGTGTTCTCCAGCCTATTTTTAAATAAATATTTACAGATAAATTTGAAATAAATATCTTCTGGTAAAGTTTACTTTACTTTAGACAGATTTTCCCAATGTTGAGAGGCAGGTATGCTGGTTACCTGGGGGGGGATTCAGATGAAGAAGCTGGTTGATGATAGAATAGAATAATAACTTTATTGGTCACTTTGAATGTACACTAATTGGCATACATTAAAATGATACTTTGTTGCATTTCAGCTCTCAAAGGGTCACTACCTCTAATATACACTACAGAACCATGACTAAATAAATAAATACAAAATTATGCATATACCCACATACATTATATGACACGGAAGAAACAACACAGTCTAGTTTGGATGTATACGTGTACATGGGGAGAAAAACAAATCTTACGAGTTTACCGGGTGGATGGCATAGGGAACAAAGTGATTACAGAATTGGGTAGCCCTGCTAGAAATAGATGTATCAATATAATTAGAAATAGATGAAGAGGGATCCAGGGCTTAAGGAGGTGCAAGTTAACTTTCTTTTAACTTTCCAGCTTTAAGACAGATGGACTTCAATTCCCAGAACTCCCCTGCTGACCAGGAAATTCTGGGAGTTGAAATCCACACATCTTAAAAGTCACCATGTTAGTGGTGACTTAGATGTATTGTTGTTGAGGAGCAAGTCCCTTTCTTCCGTCCTTAAAGCATGGAGAAGCGGGATAAAGATCTACTGTTAGGAGATCCAGGCCATCCTGTTTCTCTCTCACAACTTGTACTGCACACAGTTCCTTTACATTAAAGCTTTCTTGTCAACTGTACAAGTGAGATTGGAAAACTACAGTCAAAACTTGCCATTCCTGGAATTTCCTGTTGCACTTTACTTTTAGAGGTTTGGTCCACCCCCAAGTGACTTGGAACTGAGGAGATCTGAAAACAAGTGATTGATGTCCCTTTCTGGACGCAACTAATAAAGAGAAGTGCATTCTCAAGAGTTATTTATACAGGTAAACTTCTTCATATGGCCCCTTTGAAAATTAATTGCCCACTTCTGTTAGAATATTGAACTATAACCTTTTGTATTTCTCTATGTTTGACCTAACATTCTTTCCTTCCTGGCCCTCTTGCAGGTGCAGCAATGGATCTTGTCCTGGATTATGCAGACAGTTCTATTTTGACACCTTATGTTTATCCAGCAACCTGGCCAGAAGACAATACTTTCCGGCAGATTATCAGTCTCTTTGTTATAACAAACCTGGGGGCATTTGTCCTATATTTTCTGTTTGCCATTCTCAGCTACTATCTGCTTTTTGATCACAAGTTAAAGAAGCACCCCCAGTTTTTAGAGGTGAGTGAGCTCCAGCAACATGGCAAAGCTGTTGTTTCCTTTAACGTCATTCCATTACTCACAAGAGGTCCTATCTAAAGAAGAACCAGAACTCTATCTTGTTGTGAATTGTGTCGTGCTTAATCATCGTCTTAAATTTGTGAATGAAAATGTTAGTGCCATAAAGCAGAATGAACATCTCATGAAAGGGGGAGGGGGGATTTTTCTGCTTGCTGTATCTATATGGTATTTTTGGAGGCTGGGCACATGTCATCTTCCCTTGATTTAGTTACCCTCGTTTTTATCAAGGAGTTCTTTTAGCCGGAATTTGACTGCTCCCCCCCCTCCCATTTTGTTGTATTGGAGAGGATGATGCATTCATACAAGGCATAGAATTGTAAAGTAATGTTACATGGTGAACAATAAAGCAGAATTCTGCTGCAGATTCATTCTCTGCTTTAGGGAAGCCCCTTTTCTCAGACGTTTGGTGGGGAGTGTGAGTTCTATATCAGGTCTTTCCAATCTTGGCAACTTTCAAGACCTGTGATCTTCAACTCCTGGTATTCTCCAACCAGACGAGTTGAAGTCTACAAGCCTTAAAAAGTTCCAAGGTTAGAACTGGGTGGTTTTAAAGGCCTTTTGACCCATTGTCTGCTTTTGTGTTCAGAATCAAGTGCAGCGGGAGATAAAGCACACCGTCTCATCTTTGCCTTTGATCAGCATTCCCACTGTGGCCATCTTCTTTGCTGAGGTCAGAGGCTACAGCAAACTCTACAGCAACATTGAGGATTCTCCCTATGGTAAGCACCCCTGTTTGGCACTCCCTCCACAACTGACCTCTGTGCTGCTATTTTTCTCTGTCCCTTCTTATCTCCGTGCTTAAAACTCTCTACATTCCGCCAGAGACTTTGCAATCCCGAAATATATCTTGGGCCCCTAAAGTAAAATGGTTTAGAAGTGGACTTATATGGTACAATTTAACTGCTACTTTTTGGAGTGCATTGGTTTAGGGAAAGATGTTTTAAATTATGTCTGCTACCTTATGGTAACTTTTAGGATTGGGTATTGAAAGTTTTGGAATGTAAAATACTAAATAGCATGGAAGAAAATCTGTAATTATGATTTAACCACAAGCACAGTGTTATTAAATTTGTTAGTAGCCTGCCCATCAGTAATTTACTGAATTATGTGCATTTGTCTGTGAATTATCTGTCTAGTCCATTAATTGGAGTCATAAGGAAGTGATGGTTGAAGCAGACCTGTGAAGTTTGCATCATTAATTAGAGAACTGTGGCAACAATCCTTTAACTCAGTGGTCCCCAACCTTTTTTGTACCAGGGACCGGTTTCAAGCAGAAAATTTTTGCAAGGACCGGGGGGGGGGGGGGGGG